TGTTTGTCTAGGTACTAAACATTCTCTCTGATCATAACCGTGAAATGTTTGAGCGAGAAATGAACATTGCTTCAAGATGCCGCCATCCTTGTTTACTTCAGTTCATTGGAGCAACAAACGAGGAAGAGGGTCCTTTGTTCGTAACAGAACTCATGGCATCAAATTTACGAGCACTGTTACAACAGCGATCTCTTTCTCTAACTGAGGTGTCTGTCCTTTCTCTGGACGTGGCTCGAGCTTTGAACTACCTTCATCAAAGGGAACCATCACCCATCATTCACCGCGACATAAGCAGTGCCAATGTGTTACTATGGCGACATGGTGACCAATGGCGAGGCAAAGTGTCAGATTATGGCACAGCTAAGTTTGTGCAGCAAACCATGACACCCTTTCCTGGTGCTAGGATATACAGTACACCTGAGGCACTTACAAGGAATCAGACTGTAAAGGTATGTCTGATTTGAGTTTCATTATCAATTTTCAGGCTTGCGCTTGTTTTTTGCATTCTCGGATACTCGTGCTAAGATGTTAACGCTCGCCACGGGCGTCCAACAACTAATGTCTGGTGTCTAAAAGAAACTGAAAATGTATCCTAAGGACGGATGACTAGTCGAGTCCTCTGTCAATGGTCTCATGTACAGCGAGCTTGTGGCGAGCCTGCTCTGCTTTTTGCAGGGATCAGAAACAAATCGGTCGATCATTTGTGAGGAAATAGCTGGCGGTAGCCGATTATAGGAGGAAGTAAAAAATGTCTAAGAAGGAGATCAAAAATATATATATCTAATGGAGCCAATCGTTGCCGACAAAGAGAGTACGTTTCTATTCTTATCGTTTATTTTTCATTGCTCAGGTTGATGTATATAGTTTTGGCGTTCTTCTCTGTGAGATCTGCATTAGAAAACTGCCAGACCCTGAACGGCGAACGGAACAAGTTGCCATGGTTACAAACCGCGGTATTCGAGCACTTATCAGAGGGTGTTTGCATCCAGATCCTAAAGCAAGACCCAGCATGGCAGACATCATTCGTGAACTAGAAAAAGGAGTTTGAATTCGCAATCTAACTGCGTGAACTCTGAACATTGATGAACTTTGAACTTTCACATGTAACAATGTGATTGTACAAATAACCAGTTCACGAATTCTTAACTAATTGATTTGCATACTCATCGATAACACCCGTAATACGTAGAAATGTGAAATTGGACGAAAAAAATGGAACACTTGCCCTTTTACACGGGCTATAAGACAGTTGTAGTGTAAAGATCTGGAAAACCTGCAGAACTTCTACATCATCAAGATTTTACCCCTTACTTCATTATCACCCATATGATAACGTACCTTAGTTGTAGAGAATGACTTTTATGTAAAATACAATACTTTGAAATGGTACCTTCGTAGAAAGATTTTTATCCATAAGAGCAGCCATTCTTAGTTAGCACAGATGAAATGAGTTTTACGTCAATGACGATTTCAATATTTTCTTTCGTAATCCATCAAACATTTTGCTCTTGTGCGATCGGTCTTTGGTTGGTTTAGGGGATTTCTCGCCAGGCCATAGAAGTAGAATTGTACTCGCTTATTTACTCAGGTTATTAATTACTCAGGTTATTGCCAGGAAATTAGGATGTTACTTGACGACGTTTTCAATGTGTACAGGCGTGTCATTTTACTGTAAGGAAACTTCAAAGCAATGTTCGCTAAATGATTCTCGTGATAGGATGGGGGCAAGCGTGCTCTCTCCCTTCTTTGTGTCAGATATGTGATGCTCAAAGAGTTGTGCTGAGGTTTTTTAAAAGTTTCTTTTTTTTTTTTTGGCAGACAGCTATAGATTTTGACTTAAGTGACCTTAAATTGGACAAGGTTTTATAGATAACCAGAAAATAATATAAACTTATTTTTCTTTTAAAATACAAATAAATAACCGGGAAAAACTTAATTAAAGTGGAATTCTGAGTAAATCTTACCAAAATGACTTTTATTCAGCATTGATACCAAGCTTATTTAGGTTACAAAACCAAGCAAGGCGTGAAACTTATATGAATTAGTTTTGAAAGACAGGTCCGAAAACGAGTGTGGGAAAATTAGATTTTTATTCTTTGATTACTTCATATTTTGTTTCAGCAATTTTGTAGTTTTATAGGTTCGATTAAACAGTTGTTCAGTTGTTTAAATTTATTTGAAGACGATAGCTGTAATTTAGCCGAAATATTATACAATCATGCAATAGTATAAAGCAAAAGCTTTTATTTGACAACCTTAGATAACCTGGCTCTCATTTTATATATATTTTCTCCACATTGTAAGCTAGCGCTTGACTTTGGAATTCAAGGTTAAAACGCTCAAATCTATAGTGTCCTTTATCACTTTAAAACTAGATACTCCATAGGAGAGTTGAACTGATGAAATAAAATTTATTATCATGACAACAGCTCGTTCAAACAAGGAATTTCTTGGTCAATTTCCTTTCCTTCCTCTTGATACAGTTTTTTCCGCGATTAAAACTCTATTTCCGATTTTCAGAACGGTGTTGGAAGAAAATATACTTCCCTATTTGCTTCATCGCTTTGCGATTGTACATCAGGCCAATAATTTTGATCAAATCATTTATTCTCACTATGACCCTCATCATATAGCCGTTGTGATGTCTAA